TTTCACCACGCTGATAGAGAGATTCCACTTAGTACACGCCTCCAGTAGGGATGTCACTCTTTCGCACAACTGATCCCACGACTCTGCTGGGATTAGAATGTCGTCGATATAAGATCTGCGTCCTAACACAGACGGGGTCCCAGGATCCCCTGGCTCTCCTGCTTCGAATGGATCCACTTCCGTATGATCTTCCCTGGATCCACCCTTTTCGGGTTCCGGTATTCGGGTGAATCCATAGAGGGCGTTATCGATCAGGCGCTGGTAGATCTGAGGTGCGTTCTTCAATCCGAACGGCATCCAATTGCACTCGAACAGTCCAAACGGTGTGATGAATGCGGATATCGCGCGAGCTCGATCCGTCATAGTCACCAACCAGAAACCACTGGTCATGTCCAGAGAACAGTACCAGAGCACTTTATCCAAAATCTTCCAACAGCTCATTAGTTAGAAGGCATCGAGATACACCATCAATCGAGTCAGGCTGTTAACCAGCCAGAGAATCAATGCACAGACGTATATTCTTCTTTGATGATGATTGCCACCGAGAGACGCCCACAGGAGACGTTGAGAAGCTGATGATCTTGGCTTGCAGCAGGCCCTTAATCAGATCCCGATAGTTTTTCTCGGAGCTGAGGTGCCACCTTCCGCACCCTTTGAGCGATCGGTTTCGCGTCGCTGACATCGATATCACATTTGACTCCGCGGGCAGCGGGCGGTAACGCATTACCTTTACCAATCAGCAGATGTCGGCTTTCCCAGATCTTCCGCCGTAGACGATCCACTTCAGCGGATTCGTTCGCCCCTGGATCCACTTGGACATCATCAATCGTGACCTCCTCTGTGGTCAGTGGTACCTCCGAGATCACCGTCATGCCTTCTCCAAGATCCTCGGCGTGTAGATCCCCGCCTTCACGGTAGCCGACTTGTTCGCCTTCCGTCTTCGTCGGATCCACCATTGGATCCAAGCACCGCGACTCTCCTTCCACCGTCATCCCTTCTGTTTTCGTGGGGTCGGGTATCCTGGTACTGGGGAAGACACCTTTTGATCCTCTGGTGGGTTTACCCACGAAGGTTCCTGTTTAGCTAGTGTGGCCACTCTCGACAAGGATCCAGGCACTTGGCCCCATGGAAAGCTTGGATCCACTTGTGGGTCAGCGGGATCTGGCGGTCCGGCTCCAGCCTTCTGCGATCCTTCATCCACCGACCCTGCGTTATCTAGGGGCCGACTCTGGGGATCATCCCCGGTCTTGGATCCAACATCTATCGCTTGGACCTCTATCCGACGATCCCTCTGCAGGATCTTTCGCGGTGTTGGATATGAAGGCCGATCCACCAAGGGGCCAGTTGGCCCCGCCGGGAGCTCCACTTCTCCGAGAGATTCGATCTCGGTAGTCGCCTCGTACGCCAGATTCTGCCATTCTTTGTAGCGGCGGGATCCCACTGACACATATCCAGGTCGCCTAGGGATACCGTCCTTCTCCAACCATCGGCCGATCTCCTCATAATGGTCCAGTAATAGTCTCTTGTCGCTGACGTTCGTGGCCTGGAGGTATTGCGATCGACCTGGTCCCTGGATTACGGTAGGCACCCATTTCTCGCCCCGAGTGACCCACAGTTTCTAATGTTCCACCCACTTTAACCGATCTGGCAGTTCCCAGGTTTCTCCGGGCTCGATCCAGGTCGTCTTATCCGCCCTTATGATCCTCATCTTCGCTCCATACAACGGCCGCCGTTCGCTGAGCTGGATCCGCATCTCGTCAGGGAAACAAAGTGTCCCATCCGCCAGATCCAACTTCACTCCGGCTGGCACCATGAAATCCATCCCGAGGATGGCGTCTTGACCAGCGAGATCTCCAACCCAAATATCGAATCAATACACCAAACAACCTGCCAGCGTGATCTTGATCCGCGTTCTCCCATTCGTATGGTACACGCCTTCACCAATCCCAACCCAATCTTGGATCCGACTCTCATCCACTTGGCACCCAACCTTACGAGCAAAGGCGGTATCTAATATAGACACCTCGGCACCGCTATCTAGGAGTAGGATTGCTTCTTCATTGTTGATCTTGCCCCCTACCTTGGCTTGTCTGAACCACTTTTCTGGGGCATGGTACTTCCAGTATCCACGGAACTCCCCTGTTAGCAGATCCATGAATCCAACATCCTCAGATCCACGGGATCCAGTGACCTGACAGACCTTAGGGGGATCTGCCGTGACCTCACCCTTGGTAGGCTCAAACCATCGACCATGTTGGCGCTTCTCCCAGTAACCATGTGCCTCTTCCCTTTGTAGATCCAGGGTTGAAGAGACTTCGAATCTGGCAAATTCATCCACTTGGCGCAAACCAGAAATATTGGCAACTGACACTTCATCTAGAGGATACCAAGAAGGCGCTGAGCGCAAGAAGTGGATCGGCGATCCTCAAAGATCCTTCGGATCCCTTCTACCCGGTGGTGAAGGAGTATGGAGACGTTGTCTCGAAAGACCCACCGACGGGCCTGCCTCCGGATCGAGGCGTGTGTCATGAGATTGACCTGGTTCCTGGAACCAAATACTGCGTAACAAGTCAATGGCCTTTGCCGAGAGAGCAGTGTGACGTCATTGACGCATTCTTCCGTGCGAAGCACGAGGCAGGGATGGTGCGCGAGAGTAAGTCTCCGCACTCGACACCCACGTTCTGTGTCAGAAAGCCGAACGGCAAGTGGCGCATTGTTCATGCTTTTAACAAGCTAAATGCGGCCACTATCCCGGCGCAAACGCCGATTCCTCGCAAGGATGTTCTGCAGAACAACATGGTAGGCTGTACGTTGTACAGTGCGCTCGACTTGGTCGATGGTTACTACCAATTGCTCCTGAGAGCGAGCGACATTCATTTGACAGCGGTGAGTACTCCGAGCGGTATGCTCTGGGAGTGGCTGGTCATGCCCCAGGGGCTGTCGAACGCACCAGCAACCTTCAATCATCTTATAGTTTTCAAATATTTTTGAAGAAAGGCTACAGCTTTTAAAAGCATAAATAACATCAAACAGTGTCATCGGTAGCGTACGCATCATATTTGCAGTAAGTGTGCAGGCTCTCGTCGTTGGGGTTATTTTTCTCCCTAGAGGCTCATCGAGTTGTTTCTCGTTTGGAAGTTTATAATTTTATTTTTACTTCGCAAGCGCTAGCGATAGATTTTGCAAACTATCGAATTCATTGTAGATGAAATTGATGCAGTAAAACTATAGTTTGCTTTCTGTAGACAGAGGCTTCTGTAGGCTTGTCTTGTAGTCATAAAGTGTTGAATTTTTTTTCTCATTCTTTTGGTACTGTTATGCTGGAAATGTTTGAAACTTTTGCCAGTGACAATAAATGCTAAAGTTTGGCGAATGCATGAATAGTTTTTGGCGTTGATGCCTCCCAGTTTCATACATTTCATTGAGTATTTCTCTCTCAACGTTTGGGGTATATATATATATATATATTTTTCTTCGTCAGCCTTTGTGAAATTTGCAATTTTGTTTTTGCATCTTGCAAATTGCATGTTTGATTTTATTCATAAATTTCTTTTGTGAATGTGGCGTAAATATGTTTTGAGCAGCTAGGTAACAATGCTTGCACCAAAGCAATATTAGGAGCACACTTCACTCACATTTTATCTAGCTCACAGCTTTGGGGTAATTTTCTCCCTGGTGGCTCTTCGGATTGTATTTCGGATTTTATTATACTTCGAAGTAGTGAGAAGCATGCACACTATTTAGTCAATTGACAGAGACATTGCTCATGCAAAAAAAAAGTGTTACTGCTTCGTAGGCTCAATACGCAGTGCGTATGGTACGGAGTCCAGGGAGATTCTCCTCTGGCTCGATACCGCGTGGCAGACGTGCTGCTCACCGCGTGCAGCTCGTTTGCTGGCGTAGAGGGCAACATGGCCTCCCAGCATGGCGATCTATTGCACATGCAGCGCTACAGCTCAGTGGCTGGCGCAAAGTTGGCAACGTGGCCTAACGCAGGCAAGTGTCCGTCTCACTCAGGTTTCCTTCACCTCCTTGTGCCCCTGGCCATTCATGCGGCTTGGAGGTGTGTTGTCTTGCAGCGTCCAGCTCGCCCCTGGAGAAACGTCGGGCTTATAACCTGTTGAGCCAGGTGGCGCTTTGCGTTTGAGCGTTGGGTTCATAACCTGTTGCGGGGAACTTGGGCGCAGGTAGAAGGAAGTCAGGGTAGGAAGGAGTAAAAGAAGAAGAGCTTGTGGTGGACTCGGTAAATGAAGAAGTAAGATTAATGTTTAAGAAAGTAGCGGGCTACTAACAAGAAATTAGTATGCGGCATTCAGAAACATAGTCTAGAATTGCCGCTACCATTCATCGTACTAAAATGTTCCAGACATTTTAATACATTATTTATTAGAGTCAAAAATACCGTGTCTCTTCATTATTAGTTTATAGAGAGCACGATGGAGAGGCGGTCCCTGGGACGGGCCCTAACCTCAACACAATTTGACTCGATCCTGTTTGTCGTGGTATTTCCAGGGGTAAACACTTTTCCCCTGGCAAAGTTTGCCCACATCGCACGATAGGAGCCCCAGTTTTTCGCGAAGTAGGCAGAGAAAGCTAGGCGTTTCTTTTTCTTCAAGTAGTGCCGTAATGCCATGTAGGACAGGTTGTGCCGGATCTGCGTTGCGCTAAATTAAAATGCGTGAGTCATAGAAAGGAATTTTAATCTTGTATAAAAGACATCCCTACCTGTAGAGAAGTTTGGTTATTCACCTCAGTAATTTCTCCTGTTCCGACACTTTCAAGCGAAACACAGGACGCTTCATGACCTTCCAGAATGTGATCGCGTGAAACTGGCAAAACAGTATCATAGCTTCAGGGAGCGTGTCCTTCGGAACATTCCACTTCACGAAGTCCTTGTCAATCATCACAGATTCTATCTGCGTCCAGCCTGTTTTTTTTATTTGAAGTACTCCAAGATTCTTGATATTGTCACCGTCTCTCGTAAATGCCGATGAAGCCAACTACTGGGAATTCTCTTCCTGTAGCCGTTATAACGACCCAACTTCCTGTGTTAGCATACCATATGAGCAACAAAAAGTAGAGTTAAAAATAAAGTCGCTATATACTAGATAAGTTTGCTGAAATATTGCTATAGAAGCCAAAGTTGCCATAAATGATGACGACGCACCCAAGTGATACCCGATATTATTCGCCCCTCCTTCGCTAAGGTCTAACCCCAGCGCTTGAAAAACAGCTTCAGCACCTGGGTTTGCATAACAACCCCGCACGTTACACCCTTTTATATTTTGAGCACATCGCTCCTATCCAGCTGTCGAAGCGCGTGCAACATGTCCGTTAATCGATCTTCGGCGAATTCAAGTCTCACGATACTGCGTATAAGATTACCAGTCTGCTTTGTGGATATCTTGCATCCTTATACAATGAAATATAAATATAGCAAAACGTAGCTCATATTTAAATTTTAAACATACAACTCCGCAGCAAAACACGGTCAACGTTTCATACCAATGCGGACGTTCAAAACGTTGGTGGTATGCTTGGAAGAAACTCGTGCGTCCACAAAAGGCTTCACATCCTCAGGATCTTGATCGTCCAGTGGTAACGTCTTCCTTGTCAAGTAAGTAGAAGCTTGAGTCGCTGTGGTGGAGTGTGTGTGTATGTGTGTGTGGGGGTGGGGTCTGGCGATTGTAAAACCTATTTAGTGCGCTTCTACAGTACACACCAAAAACTAAAATTTGCGTACCTCATTCCGAATCTGGATTCCGTAGTCACCGTTAGCCGCACGAGTCACAGTTGCTGTGAACCGAGCCAAGCACCCACAGAAGCAATGTTTGCGGTTGCGGTGATCTTTTAAGCGAGAGCTTGAGAAGCACCATGAGTCCACCGATAGATCTTGTGGCTCCATTAAAACTGCGTAGGAACCTAATCTTCGATAGTTCTGCATATCGCCAAACCCGTAACTCAGTCCTATAAATGATTTTGAACAAGATATAATCGGTGTTTACATACCTGTTGTAAGCACTGTAGACTTAGAACTCCGAATACGAAACTTCAGATTGTTCTTCTTCGTGATTGCGTGTAAATGATATGAAACTGTTCTTAAGTTGCAATCGGACCGAATGAAAACGGAGCTACCAAGTTCAAATTTCGTTGCAGTCCGGAAACATGGTCTTCATCTCTTCCAAGTGCTTACTGGTTCGCTTTCGAGGCCTCTACTCTCGACGTGATGCACTTCCAAAGTCATAAGATTCGTTACAGCCCTCGCCGTCCGAATGATATTCGTCCTGTTCATTGTGCCCATTGTCTTCCTTCTCTTGATCGGACTTGGGTATGACTTGGGCGTCGCCTTGTTTCACCTTCTCGTCACTCTGCGCCTTTGGCCCTTCATCCACCATCACCTTAAGTTTCTTATTTGAAGGCACCGGCTCATGCGAAGAGTACCGTCGATTAACGAAGAGTTGATGAGGAGACTGTCGTCGTTTCTTCCCATCTGTAAAAAAACTACAAGCCATAATTAAAAAGAAAAACTTACCAAAAAAATCTTATCCTTAGAGCAACCATACACATACAGGATAGATTTCGGCGCAACTTTTTGTCCTTGGCGTTTACAGCTCGCGCATTATGACCTAATCGATTAGCACGCGGCATTAGGCTCACAACGTATCTACTGCGAGTAGCCTGAATAGACGTACCGAGGATTAAGGGGTCGTCTGTGTCGCCGGAAATGACCTCATCATCTTCAGAGTCCTCCGTGTCGACGATGTAGTCCTCATCGCTGCTGTCGTCCTTCTCCATGCGAAGAGTGGGATACATGTAGTTCAACTCGGACTTCTGTATTCGCAGGCCCCGCGCTTTAATACAACTACAACAAATACTAATATTAGATCGTTCACGCGATCGCTTCGCGTATGAGTTTGTTTCGCACCGTTCGACGAGCATCCATCCTGGCACTCTTCTGTGTGTTGCCTCACTGAGTCTCTTCTGCCTGCCCGCTGCTGACAGGTCACTCACCGTTCCGCGCTGTCCACGCTGCTCGTGAAGTCTGCCTCGCGCTTCTGGAAATGAGAGGCTCACAGCGAATGTAGAAAAATATATTTCCCTGATTTTTTTTAATTTCATTTATCGCAACCTTTCATGTCTCATATCGTCTAAAGCGATCATATCGTAGAAACCACTCTGGTCGTAGTCGTATAGAAGCTTTACGATACGGGTACACATCAGATTGACCATAATATTGATTGGCTTACAGTTAGCAACGCCATATGAAAAAGAAAGCTTTTGTGGTCATGGAGGCAACGCTGTGCCTTTCATCTATCATAAGGATGTTCAACCCGGTGTCTTATTACGTCCTCAAGGATGTACTGGCGGCCTCAAAAGTGTATCTAATGACATAATCAATTTCGTTTTATCCTATTATCTAGGACAAAATTCGGGCTTATATTGAACTTACTATCACAAATGCGAGCAGTAATTGTTTTGTTATAAATAGAGGCCTAGAAGAACCTACATTGTTTAGCTAGGGTTAGTTAGGGTTGTCTTCTAGATGTTAGACCTTGTCGGTTTGCAGGATAAGTTTTGTAATATAATTTGTTGAATGATTTTACTGATTGCGCTCTCTTAATTTCGCTGCCTGTAAAATACAACGTCGGAAAATCCATATTGGCCATTTTGATGCAGGAAGGTCTACCGAGTGTAGAACAAGAGTAGGCAGGTACAGCGGGGTGCCGTAGCTTTAGCGTCAGAGGAAGACGTTCGACTCAAAGAGTCACTAATACTAAGCCCCTTATCCAAAGGAACTTACAGCCCACGACCGGGGCTCAACGTTAATACCTTAGCTTTTATGCTTCAAAACCAGGAGTCCTTTATTTACTATTATTGCGGCCAAGTCGCCTAGGGGTAAATGTGTCTGTTTAGCTATATAGCATAGTTAAACCTTATCAAATGCATAACGTGTGGCTTTCAGCCAACGTACTGAGAGACCTTGTTAAGTCTCCAACTTATGTACTGAGAGTTTGTTAACTCTCCGGGTACTTCGTACCCCTGTGTGCTCCACACCATGTAACTTCGTTTCACTCTCCCCCACTAAGATGAGAACATTCCGTTCTCGAAACTTACCTCAGCGAGGTCACGTCTTGTTAAGACGGCGGGGGTTACTACACCTCACACCAGCGTTGTACAGCTCCGTCAGCCCACAAACGCCTACGCATCATTGATGCCCAACTTCTCGTCGTCGGCCCACGGCCCAATGTTCCAAGCGCAGCGCGCATCTTGCTCTCAAGCGGTCTCAGACCTACGCTCATGCTCCGCGCCTACTCCAAGAGCTGCAAACCGCTTAGAGCTATACTCTTGACTCATCCGAGCCGTCGACAAAAGCTTAGCGGTTGAAAACTCGCTTCACAAGCGACAGGTCGGTGGTTCGATCCCACCAGGGCGTCGCCCTCTCGTTCCATGAACGATAGTCCACGGGTGGACAAGCTTAAGGGCAACACCCTTTTAGCTCAGTGGTCGATCTTTGGCTTTGGAAGCCACAGGTCGGTGGTTCGATTCCAGCCGGGCGCAGCCGTCTCATACCAGAGTAGTCCGTACTGGGACAGACTTACGGGCATTGCCCTTATAGCTCAATGGTAGAGCTCCGCCTGAAAAGCTAAAGGCCAGTGGCTCGATCCCCGCCCGGGACACACCCCTTTTGCTGTTACAGCGCATCCACATCTGGATCATGCTCATCGAGCAAGTTGTGTCAAAGCAACTATGTGTCTATCAGGACGCTTGTACCTGAACCTTGATCAGCACAACACAAAGCATCTGCTCGGGACCATGTCCCTAACACCACGAGGTCTCTCCACCTCCTGCTCCCGCTGCGAGCACCGCTCATACGTACGAGCTGACTGCTGCAGCCACTGGTCAGAGCCAGAGCTAGACTTCTGACCTGTTCGCTCCCCACTCTCGTGGGAGGCGCCCAGCGCCTGGTGACGCTGTCGCACGCCATGGTGGCGCTTCGGCACAGGATGTGCCAGGTCGCAAGCACCCACGACGTCAGGGCAATCTTGCCGGAGGATAACCTTAAACTCCCATGAGTTCTGTGAGTGAAGGTAGCCCCTCCCCTCCACTTCACCAAGTACCCTGGCGTCTACGCCGCGCCACAAGGCGTTCCACGTGAAAGTGGAGCTTATCATGCTCATCGAGCAGAGGGACGAGGCCTTGCCTCCGCTGGGTTCTCGCGGGGACCGTCAGCACTTGCCGGAACGGCGTCTGCGTCCATACGACGCCGGCGTCCACGACGCGAACGTTCACGTTCACCGCCCATCGGTCGGTCTCGAAGATATGATCCACCTTGTGAATAGGTTACAGTCCACTGTTGACTCACAACCAGGTCTCGTGCCTTGAGCGTCCAGTCTCTCGGCTGAATGGTCAACTTGCCTTGCTCCTGCATCTCGAGCGCTTCGCTCCGCGACCTGTGGCTCTGCCACATGCTGTTGATCAGCCTGCTGTGGGTGCACCACTTGCTGTCGTTCAGCCTCCCGTGACTACACCAACATATCTGCTGTGATTGTAACCATGGCATATCGTGAGGCAAATAGTAAGAGTTATACTTGCTTTATACACTGCAACTGGAACTTGACTAAGTGTCATCTTCTTCGGGAAGTCACAAGCCGCCCAGTGCTGCACCACCTCCACGTATGACCACTTAAGAGAAATACGCACTTTACGCATGATGCGTTTTGTATGCTTTTGAGTTGCAGTCCGTCCTGTAACTGGGAATGGTGACGCAAGTACGTCCGTAAGCTGCGTCTCCATTCATAACACTACCTCCGAAACGTCCGTCATTTCGAACAACGTCCTTCTATTTTGATGCTCTTAGCAATGTAAGGTCATGGCAGCGACCTTCGACTGGTCCATACGCATGAGCGTTAGTTGTGTGACCTCCCCGGGACGCGCAATGCACACCTGACAGTCGTCCCACTCTCGATCAAGTAGCTAACGCTCTAAGATCTGAAACATCAGTAGATGAGATCGTCCGTGACGAAAAAGGTGCTGATCCGAAGACCTTATTTACGGGTAACAAGAATACCGCACCTGATGGCGGTAAATATGCTGATATTTGAAGCGGTGGGGGCAATCTCCAGCAGAAGATCAAGGCTACACTGAAGAGCACTCCGTAATGACCAAGCGTGCTATGGCATACCTCAAGGACACAGCATATTATAGGTTGATTCTGCCAAAGGTGATGTCGACTAAGATTGTCCTTGTTGGATTTGCCGATGCAGACCTTGTACACTCTCTTAACGATTAAGGAGCAAAATATCGTACATGTGCAGCACATCCGTGGAAGCACAAGGTAATAGTGCCTCTCTCGTTGCCAAACGAGTCGCTGCTGTCGCTTTAGCGATCATTACTCGGCATCATGTTTCGCAAACCTTTATAAGAGAATACAGCATGTTGCTTAATGAGTAAGAATTGTTGCTTAATGAGTAAGAATTGTTGCTTAATGAGTAAGAATTAGAACTTTTTAGTCTAAACACTAAATTAATTAAAAGTCGGTTATACCGTAGGGGATATTTCAAAGAGCACAGTCAATGTACATGGCAAATTACCCATCATATGGGTTCATAAGAAAATACATGTGCATACCAATCCTGTAGATTTTCATTTCCATCCGGCAAAAATCCAGTAAACAGTCTGTCCACTGGAAAGGTCTATAGACATGCATCGGCTGGCCGATATTTTTAACCGCCTTCTCGCCAAGACATTCAATGTTGGATTGGCCGCGACGCGAGTTGAGGGGGGCCTGGGTGTCCTAAGAGGGATGTCGCCATAACAATGGTTAATTCCCCGTCCAACACGAGATGGTACGCTACGAGCGCTTCTTCGATATCTACAACGTGTATTCAAGCTTTAAGAGTGCTGCTGATGGTCTGCGCAGGTCTTGTGAAGACCTACTACCGTAGTTTAACGGAAAAGTTCCCCTTGTGGGAGGATGGAGGTTCAATTCCTCCCGGTAGTCTCTTGATCGCGTGTCCAAGCTAAGAAGCGTCGCTTTGAGCCATGCGGTCGCCCTCGGCACCATCGTCTTCGCTGTCGAGCTCGTTATAGTCGATGTCCTTCGCTGAATCAACAGCTTGTAGCGCGACGTTGCTCAGCTGTAGTAGCCTGACGAGTGGGCCCAAGTCTGATGCTGGTGATGCGTGTGGTGTCGGATGTGGTGGTATCAGCATTGTTGTGATTGCTAGCTTGGCCTTCTTCAAACCGCCAATGATTGTAGTATGGGCGAGAGATGTCCACGCGCATGTGATCCAGCGAACCACATTTAGTCGTGTTGGTGGTGACATCTTGAAAGTAGTTCCTCCAGCGGATGCCGGTCGAACTTGTTCTAATAAAAACTCGACCCACCGCTTCCTTATAAAATCCTTGAGTGGTTTGTTCCATGCTACGTCTGCCGGCTGGCACGCGTAAGTGTATCCAGGATGCACCTTCATTAGGACGACATTGAGGAGACGAGCAAAGATTAATACATCTTTTCGCCGGTGCCCTGAAAAGGTGTCCCAGAGCAGAAGAATAGGCACGTGCATGTTCGGTCGCTGACCGAAGTGTACAGACAGAAACTCAATAGACAGCTCGCTGTTCCACCACCCAGCGGCATTGCCGTAGTTATGGACACCTTGTTGAAGCGGGTGAACCTCGCCCAAAGTCAGCGCCCAAAACCGTGGCGCATCACTTTGTTTTCCCTCGCGACATCGGGCTTGGTCGATGGTCGAGTCTTGAAAACGAGGAAAGGCTCTCGTTTTGATCCGTCGCTTGCGACCAACAGCATTGCAGTCACCCGCTCTTTGCTTTTCCCTGCGCACTTCACCCATACAGTCTTGGCCCCGCGAGGTAGGCACATACTCATAGTTGACCTTAGCAGATAATGTTATTTCCACGTCTCATACGCTGTAAATATTTGGTACATACCGGTCTGGTCAGCGTTGTACACACCACAACATAAACACCGAGTTCGTCTATCTTGAGGCGCACTTGGTTGCTGAACCCCTCCACCTTCTGCTCTGCGTCGGCCGGTGTAGACTGCCCTTCTCGGGTTCGGCGGCGAATAGAGAGCTTGTGGCGGCGCAGAAAATGCTTTCGCCAGCTCCAGGAGGCCTTGAACGGACCATTGCGTGATCCGCTAGTCCTGTATAGCTCCTGGGCTTGCAACTTGAGCATCATGCTCGTCACAGGCACACCATCGACTCTCAGCTCGTTTATCCAGAGCCACCAGCAACCTTGGCCTCTATGACAGCTCTCAGCTTCTTCCAAGCGTGTACCTGCCGTCGTTTTGAGTTAGAATTGTTAGTTGGGGAAAATTCTGCTAGCATAGCCACCATTGTTGATGTATCTAAATATTTCAGAACGCGCAACTTATACTCATAAGTTACACCAACCCGTTTGTACAGCTTTGGCTTTGCGCCACTGTCTCCCGTCTTGCGTGGGCGTCCTGTTCGTGCCATCACCCCGCCAGCAGAATGAAAATGAGATTGCTGGTATCGATAGCGATCCTCTGAGAAATTTTGATCTTTATAGTTGAAAATTTACTGTAAATCGTGTATGCTTTATAAAAAATTATAAAGCACGCCCATGGCACGAGATAACAGTGGTACATTAAATGTACCATTAAATGTACCACCTCTCGTCGTATTTTATTGGCTGATTCAAAATGTGCTTTATGAGATGTCCATGCGCTATGAAATATCCCCTGCGGTAGCTCTTTTTAAAGTCTGTTAAAGTGTACCACTTTGCCGCGATGATGGAAAATATCTCCACTATAGCTAAGGATGTTGTGGTAGTCGTCGGCGCTAAATACTTGTAGTTGTACATTTACAATAGCTACGAATTGCGATATAACAATGTTAACAGCACCTCACATGTTCGAGGGAGCTTAATACCTGACAGAGCCTCTTCGCTCCTCTCATCTCTTCTTCAAAATAGCACCACGTTCTTTTCCTTTATACGCGCCCATGTGAAATCGCACCTCACACTCAGAATCACTCGTCGTCCACTAGCTCCCTGTCACAATTGACTTGCAGAGTAACACCACCGAGGTGGCTGCCCAGCCTGTAAAATTGCCCATCAACAGGCCCATCGACGTGATAGTCACATAGTCGGGACACAGACACGACTTTCTTTCTTGGGTTTTACCTGAGGCTTGACCGGTGGTTGGACGCTGTCCTTTGCGCTGGGTTGGTAGCAATAGTACATACCCGCGACGCCCATGAGACAGACCTCCCAACCGAACATGGCTCGTGTACTCAGCGAGCTGCTGTATGCGCGTGCACTGGAGCCGACAAAGCCAGTGGCGAAGGATAATAGCAATGGTGCCAATTGGGCGAAAGTCTCACCCAGACGAGGCTTGAGGGCCGGGCCGTAGTTGTCGTACAGCCGCCGCTTCTCTGGGTCGGATAGCACCTCGTAAGCTTCGGTAATCGCTTGGAACTGCTCCGGTTCAGCGTTTGGATTCCTGTCTGGGTGGTATTTGAGTGCCATGGAGCGATACGCCTTGACAATCACGGATGGACTGGACATAGCAGAGTAATAAACAGTGAGTAAGGATCGGTGGAGGGTGTCAAGGCTGTAAAAGGAGAATGACGACGTAAGGCGCGGGGATAGACAGATAGGTACCTTGCGTCCACGTCCACATCGAGGACGGAGTAGTAGCACGGCTCCTGCACCTCGTACATGGCCATCACGGCGGCAAGTTGGCAGCCGTAATCGCGTTTTGACGTCTGAGGACTACCGCATCTAATTTAAATTCTTTTTAACCAATCCGATTTAGGTTGAAGCTTTGGTCGAATACAGTGTTGGCCGAGCGTCTTACAACGTCTTATATTTTATGTAGATCGATGTACCGCTGTGTGAGGCGGTTGGCAAAGCAACTACCAATGGTTACTTCAGAATGGACTGTACTACCACGTCGAGGAAGCTGACGGATAGTGTGGGGGCCTGCAACTTCATGGCGTCGAACTGTTCGCGGCTCATCTCAAACACCGTGCAGGGCTCCGCTGCTACGGCTGCTGTTTGACGAGCTTGTTGGCTAAAGAAGAAAACTTCACCAAACATGGAGCCAGGCAGGACAGTTTGCAGCTGAGTCAGAGGTTGACCGGGGTCCACACTGCCGTCTTCGTTCACGAGCAGGTTAACGGATCCGCGGGCCAAGAAATAAAAGTGGTCCGAGGACTCTGCGACGTGGTAGAACTCATGACCAGCAGGAACGTCACTCTTGCTGAAAAACTGGTCGACACCCTGAAGCAGCCTCGAGTTGTCTGGCTCACCCAAGTAGCGATGCAGCAACAAGCTGACAGGCTCGTTGGCGTATCCGCGACGCAGAGTCTGGGCCAATTCTTCTGCGTCTGGCACCAGCTTCTTCGCACAGAACTCAAGAGTAGCGTCGGTCGTAGGGAAGAAACTGTAGTCGTCTGCAGCCTTGTTCTTCACTAGCAGACCGCGGATATCGGGACGTACGTTGGCGTAAACCACACGGATGTTCTGGATCTTGCAGTAGTTCTGCAAGATAGCGAAGGCGCTGGATGCTGCAGTTGCATCCATGCCGGAGACGCGGGTGAAGTCCATGACAACAAACTCGGTAGGAAAAGCTACTTCGTCCGAAGTTGGCGTTCCATCGAGACATTCAACTGGGGCGTTCCAGGACGCACGAACGGGGACGCACGCTCGACTCGCGCTGAGTTCCCCTCTCGTCTTCGCTGTCACTTGTCTGCTTACGAACG